AAAATGCAAGCCTTAGAGAAGAGTAATGACTTTTGCCTCATATGAAAAGAAATAGATGGCACACTGAAGGAGTACCAAAGAGGCTTCTTTTGAATCTTCAATCAAAATGAATGTCAAATCTTATAATGAGAAAATTCTAAGGACTTCTAAAGCAACTACTAAGTCTGTACAACAGTTTGCTGTCGATTCAGAGAAAATACGGTTGTATACTTTGGATCATCCACTCCATCATTATAAATACCATGTTCATCTGATATGTAGGATGAAATCTCTTCTGTGTAGGGAAAAAAAAATTATTTAGGAAAGGAAGAAATTAATGTAAAATGGGTGGAAGATGTACTTGAAATAGTTGGAGAAATTTTAAATCATGTATGGCAGAAATGTTCTTAATGTTTCCATGAAATTCCATCTCATGGCACTAATGAAATGGCAGAGGGGGTGGTCAAAGAGAGGTCTGTTGTTGTTGTTGTTGTTGTTGTTAAGTGCCGTTGTGTGGGTTCTGATTCATAGTGACCTTGTTTCTGAGGTTTCTGAGGAGCAACTGGTGGATTTGAACTGCTGGCCTTGTGGTTCCCAGTTCAGTGCTGAACCTAGAGCATCATACCAGGAGTCCAAAGACGGGTCTTTGTTGTTGTTGTTCAGTACCATAGAGTTGGTTCTGATCCATAATGACCCTGCATAGGGCTTCCAAAGAGCAGCTGGTGAAATTGAAGCGCCAAGCTTTCAGTTCAAGCTGACTTTGTGGTCCAGAGCATTAACCTGCAGCATCCCACCAGGACTCCAAAGAGAAGTCTAGGCCCTCCGAACTGCATGTGTACCTGCTTGGATCATGGGATTTGCATTGTAACCACTGCTAATGGGCAGTGGTGCTGCCACAGAATTAGTCCTTTGGACCTACGTCCCATCACATTTTTATCCTAATGAATGATTTTTCTATTTTGTAAACCATTGGGTAATGTCAGTTTTATTTTCAGAAATGATGTTTGAAGCATGCACTAAATATAATTTTACTTTATTGCTAAAGAGGAAATATTTATCCCCCCCCCCCTTACTCTGACTAAACACCAGAATGATAGAGAAGTGGCAGAAAGTAGATAATTGCATTTACGTCTTGCCACAAAATGGATTGCGTAAACCAATCTGGTATGATGGGACATTCTGTATGAGAAGATCACCAATTTAAAATATAAAATTCAGAAATGCATTCTGCTTTATGGACTCCATTTACTCTTTTGTTTCTCCCCCTTTTACTCTTAACATGTTCAGGAAACTGGATGTGGAATTGTTACAATTCTCTGACTGCTTTTTGTGACAAATTATATTGTGATGAAAAAAGAAAATGATACACTATTTTTCCCTATCTCAAAGAAAAATATTTTCTTTTATACTGTGTCTTCTCCTTTGTACATTTTATCTAATGATGTGTTTTTGTAAGGGAAATGTTATGGTTATAATTATGTTTACTATAACTGGTGTAGCACTGTAGGATAAACATTGGACTATGAACCACAAGGTCAGTAATTCAAACCCACCAACCACTCCTTGGAAACCCTATACAGGGCCACTATGAGTTGAAACCAATTTGACGGCACTTAACAACAACAACATACCTGTAACACATTCTTTATTATTTTAGTAAATTTTATTTAGTCATATGGTGAACTTATATTGCCTTAAGGTAATCATTTTTGTTCATACAGATTTACTTCAGTGTTAATTCAGAACATGCATTCAGATTAGAATTAGTTTATGTTTTTTTTTTACAGTGTTGTTGCTGTTGTTGGTATGTGCTGTCGAGTTGGTTCTGACCTATAGTGATCCTGCATAGGATTTCTGAGGAGCAGCTGGTGAGTTTGAACCACCAACCTTTCAGTTTAAACTGACTTTGCAGTCCAGCACAATAACCCACTACACCAGGACTCCAAGAGTTTGTGTTAGACACTGCAATAATATTTTGATTCATAAAATAAAATAAAAATAAATTTACTACAGAACAATAACTTGATCAACTGATTTGTTGAAGTGAAAATGTAAACACATTATACATTTTGAAGAATAAAATCTATAATTAAACTGTAAAAAAAAAAAAAAAAGATAAGACAGAAATAAAAGACCAAAATAGATCTTGCTCTTCAATGTGTTGTTGTTAGGTGCTGTTGAGTCGGTTCTAACTCATATGCACTAGAGAATGAAACACCACCCAGTCCTGCACCCTCCTGACAATTGTTATGTTTGAGCCCATTGCTTTTGCCACTGAGTCAAGACATCTGGTTGGAGGTATTCCTCTTTTTCACTGACCCTCTTCTTTAGCAAGCATGATGTCCTTCTCCAGGGGCAAGTCCCCCCTGACAAGATATCCAAAGTGTGAAAGACAAAGCCCCGCCATCCTCGCTTTTAAGGAGTATTCTAGCTGTTCTTCTTCCAATACACACTTATTTGTTCTTCTGGCAGTCCATTGTACTTTCAATATTCTTCACCAACATCATAATTCAAAAGCATTGATTGATCATTCTACAGTCTTATCCATTATCCAACTTTCACATGCATATAAGGCAACTGAAAATACCACGATCTGGAAAAGCGACTGGAAGAAATTATGAAGTAAAAGAGCTGAACAGAAATTTCTAAGGACAGCTTAAGAAGGCAAAGTCAAGTATTATATTGAAATATGCAAAGACTTGGAATTAGAAAACCAAAACAGAACACATTCAATGTTTTTCAAAATGAAGACAAAATTCAAGCTTCAGGTTGCAATATTTAAGGATTCTATGGCAAAATGGAGTCCTGGTTTAGCACTGTAGAATAAAGCACTAGACCAAAAGGTCAGCTTGAATCACAAGGTCAGTGGTTCAATCCCACCAGCAGCTCCTCAGAAACCCTATACAAGGTCGTTATGAGTCTGATCCAGCTTGACAGCACTGTAAACAACATGGGCAAAATTGAATGAAATGGAAATCATCAAAAGAAGATGGAAGGACCCTAGGACCATCAAGGGAGAAGAGCACAAGCAGAATGCGGGACCTTATCCTGAGAAGCAACGACACCAGAGATGGACGGAGGAATAGATGGGAGCATAGAGAAAGGGAGCAGCTAAGCGTGCTAGATTCATGGAACGAGAGGGACTGAGAGCTGGTGATCAGGAAGAAGTCTTGCAGAACGTGCCCTTTGGTGGTTTAAATTATTATATATGCCTGAGTGTTAAAAACAAAACAAAACAAAAAAACAGCTAAAATGAATAAAGAGAAATACTGTTAATTGCTGGTACATGGATAGGATTATTACCACTGTAATGAAACAAAGTATATGATTTGTTGAATGTAAAACTGATCATCTGCCCTGTAAACTTTCACTCAATTCATAATAAAAACTTTAAAAAAAAAAAAACAAGACAATTAAAGGAATATACGGTCACTGTACCAAAAAGAATTGGTCCTCATTTAACCATTTAAGGAGATAACATATGACCAAGAACCAATGGTATTGAAGGAAGAAATCCAGGATGCATTAAAGGCATTTGTGAAAAGCAAGGCTTCAGTCATTGACAGAACACCAATTGAAATCCTTAGACAAACTAGTGCAGTACTGGAAATGCTCACTCACTCATCTATGCCAAGAAATTCGGAAGATAGCTATCTGGCCAAAGGATTAGGAGAGATCCATATTTACGCCAATTCCAAAGAACAATGACCCAAAAGAATGCAGAAATTATAGAACAATATACTTAATATTCATGTAAGTAAAATTTGACAGAAGATAATTTTTTAAATGATTGCAACAACACAGTGACAGGGGACAGCCAGAAACTAAAACTGGATTCAGCAGAGGACATGAAACCAGAGATGTCAGAGCTGACATCAGCTGGATCTTGGCTGAAAGCACAGAATACCAGAAAATACTTACTTTTGCTCTACTAACTATACAAATGTAATTGAATTGTGGATCATAACAAATTATGAATATCATTGCCAAGAATGGGAATTTCAGAAAAATTAATTGTGCTCATTCAGAACCTGTACCTAGATGAAAAGGTAGTCCTTTAAACAGAACAAGGCGATACTGAATGGCTTCAAACCAGGAAAGGTGAGTCTCAGGGGTTTATCCTGTCACTATACTTAGTCAGTCTGCATATGATTGCAGCTGTCAAAGATTTCATTTTACTTAGATCCACAATCAACACTCACGGAAGCAGCAGTCAAGAAATCAAACAGCATATTGCTTTGGGCAAATATTCTGCAAAAGATCTCTTTACAGAACAAAAATGTCACTTTGAGGATAAAGATGCACCTGACCCTAGCCATGGTATTTTCTAACTCCTAATATACATGTGAAAATTGGACAATGCACAAAGTTCACAGTTCAAACCCACCAGCTGCTCCTTGGAAACCTGCTATGAGTCAAAGTCCATTGATGGCACTTAACAACAACAATATGCATGTGAAAACTGGGCAATGCATGAAGAAGACTTGAGAAGAATCGATGCCTTTGAATTATGGTATGGACAAAGACCATTAAATTTACCATGGACTGCCAGAAGAACAAACAAATCTGTGTTGGAAGAAATATTGCCAGATAGGAGCAAGGATGGCAAGACTTCATTTCATGTACTTTGGACATGTTATCAAGAGAGGGCGAAGGACATCAAGTTCCATAAAGTAGAGGGTCAACAAAAGAGAGTAAGATCCTCAATTCGATGAATTGACGCAGCTTCTGCAACAGTGCACAACACAGCAACAATTGTGAGGATGGTACAGTGTTTCATTCTGTTGTACATAAGGTCTCTATGAGTCTACAACTAACAACAGCAACTACCTCCACACCAATCTAGAACCCATACCCACCACTGAAAGAGACACACAGGTGATTCTATCTTCCCAGTCCTAGACTCCTATGGTCAAGAAGGCTGAGGTTGGAGAGACCAAGGCTAGCCTCCTCTCCTTTATCACTGAACTAATGTTCAATTTGAATTAGAACCTCTGGGTCTTTTTACCTCTGTCTCTTACCTGAGCATGAAAGGCTTTAGGATGTTTATTCCAATCAAGAAGTACATTAGAACAGAGAAGCCCATCATCGCAAACCCCAGGAGCATGGCTCTGTCCTCTCCAGCACTGGATGGCAGCTTCCTGTGCACATCTGGAGACTCTCCATCATTGTGGTCTATATTTCTCTTCTTCCTGGAGGTAGGAAGGGCTGTCCTTTGGCAGAAAGGAAGAGAGATACTGCAATAAGCTCATAAGGAAATGGGATCATTGGGGAGATGATACCATTTGCTTCCCACCTGAGAGTTGTGAGCAACTTCATGGAATCCAAAGGATGTCTCACATTCAGAGCTTGGTAAAAATAAACTAACATGATGTGTTATAAAATATTTTTAAACAAACTGTAACAAACAAGACTAAGGAATGTTGCCTGGTGGAAATCTTGAGGTCTATTTGATCAATGACTTTAGAAAAATCACTTATAAGTAGGTTTCATTTAGGGGGCAGTGGAGTTTCAGGGTAGAATTCTTGCCTTCCATGTGAAAATCCAGGGTTAAATTCCCTGCCAGTGTACCTCATGAGCATTCACCACCCATCTGTCAGTTGTTATGAAGGACCGTTCTGTCAGTTCTGACTCATAGCGACCCTATAGAGGGTTTCCAAGGAGCAAATGGTGAGCTTGAACCGCTGACCTTGCAATTCAAACCGACTTTGCAGTCCAATGTATTAACCCACAGCACCACACCAGGATTCTTGGTATAGATTGTTGTTGTTGTTGTTGTTGTTAACTGCCGCCAACGCAGTTCCAACTCATAGTGACCCTGTATAAGGTTTCCAAAGGAGCAGCTGGGAAGTTTGAGCCACTGATATTGTGGTTCAAACTGACCTTTCGGTTCAGTGCTTTATCCCATAGCACCTGAACAGGTTTCAGCAGAACTTCCTAAGATAGACTAGGAAGAAGAGACAGGTGATCTGCTCTGAAAATCTGTGAAAACCTTACGGATCACAACAAATCATGGTGATGGCCCAGAACTGGGCAGCATTTCATTCTGTTTTGCATAGGTTGTCATGACTAAGAGGGTAACTTGAAGGCAGCTAACAATAACAATGTTCATTTATTTTATGTAAATAAGTGTTTCTGGAATGTCTATCCATCAGGGATATTTTTCAAGGATATTGCATATTCTTCCTGAAAATTTTTTTTTTTTACATTCTTTGATTGATTTCGTATGGAAAGAATGGTTCAAAAGGAACACATTTGGAATCAACAGCACACAGGAAATAGTAGGGTTTTCCTTGTTCTTTCATATCCACCTGTCGGAAAGGCAATATATCAACCCAAAAGCTTTCTGGGTCATTGGCCATTCAGCTTGGAATAATGAAATTCCACTTCTACCCCTCCCCACTTTTCCTCTCTATCCACTAAGAGTTCTACATGAAGGACCCTAGATTTCTTCTCTCTCTTTCTGCTCTATCTGAAAACCTTGTCAAGCAAAGGATGTAACAAATTCTTTCTCACTGGGATACCCAGTGAACGGTAAAGTCCAGCACAAAGGTTTTAAGCTTACAGTCCATGAGCTCCATCCACCCCACAGATGGGTTTTGTTTGGCTTCTCTGTGGTTGTTGTAAAAACTAAAAAAAAAATAGTTGCTAACACTTTAAAAAAGTCATAGCATTTCCATTAAAATGCTGACTTCCAGCTTGAGAGGAAAACAAAAAATCAGAAAATCCACACTCCTGCATGTCAACAAATGGCCAAGGTGATCAGCAGCTGCCCCTTGGTGAGTGTCTCTACAGTTTGCCACAACCACACCCCTCCTTATCATCATTGTCATTGTTTTGCTGCTCCCTGATGGGTAGGAAGAGACCCAGAAATATTTCCATTTTAAGAGGTTAATTGAAATCCTAAACCAAACGGTAAAAATTAAGACTCTATCAAGTTGCCTTAAAAGTTCAAAAAATTTAAAGACAAGCAAAAGCCCTATCATGAAAGGAAGATTTCATATTTGATCCCACATCCTTCTTCTATCCTCTCTCTAACTCCCTTTTTCCTATCTTCAGATGAGAGAGAGAGAGAGAGAGAGAGAGAGAGCACGTGGAGGAACATTAGGCCACCCAGGACATCACAGGAGCCTGCACTGGGACACTGACCTCAGAAAATACAACTTTTGGGTTTGAGGCTCTGCTTTGGGGGTGTTTCAGGAGTCCTGGTATGGCACTGTGGGCTAACACGTCAGACTGCAAAGTCAAGTCATTTGAACTGCAGGGTCGGTGGTTCAAGTTCACCAGCTGCTCCTGGGAAACCCTATAATGGGTCGCTATGGGTCGGAATCGACTCGATGGCACTTAACAACAACAACAACATATCATCCCACTAAAAAAGAATGAGCAGATACAGTGCAGCAAATGGCTTTAACATGGTCCTTCTAGCCATGGTCTTATTACTTCATGAAATGATTGAGTGTGACTATGCAAATCAGGTGTGTGGAACACTTACAGGGATTGCACCATCTGCTAATGCATGCAGGTTGTTGCTGTTGTTGTTAAGTGTCATTGAGTCAGTTCTGACTCATATCGATACTGTATAGGGTTTCTGAGGAGCAGATGGTGGATTTGAACCACTGACCTTATAGTTAGCAGTCCCATGTGGACTTGGAACTATGTAAATAAGACCCTATGGCACCAAGGGGATGGGTTAGTTTTACCATCCTGCCAGTCTAAAAAGAGCCCATCCCAGAGGTTGAAGGAGAATCTCACTACCATCAGAAGAGCTGGGAGCAGACTGCATCTTTTGGACCTAGAATCTCTACGTTGAGAACCTCCAAGACTCAGGATACTGCAATGGAGAGCTATACCACTGGAGACAGTAGCAGCATGAGATGGTAGCAGCGTGGAACCAACTCACTGACTCACAGAGCAAAACTGCTGGCAGAGTGAAGCGCCTCTGGGAATTTATCAGTGAGCTAATAACTTTCACTTTGCCAGAGCAGGGCAAAGACCAAGCCTGAGCAGGGTCCAGCAGCAAAGGTCTGCCTACAAGCACAGTCAGAAGAAGCTGTATTGATTAAAGACTTGTATCCTGATTTGTTCCTGCTACTTCCAAGTTTATCCTAATCTTAAACTGTAACCTATTGCTTCCCTAATAAACCCCATAATTATGAGTATGGTCTATGAGTTCTGTGTGGTCATTGCAGTGAATTATGGAATCTAGCAGATGGCTGGTGTCAGGTTAAAAGGGTGGGAAAGTGGAAGTATATCTGACCTTCACTTCAGAGGAATCACCTTTCAGCTGATGCTGATCGTGATTCTCTCTCCTAACCTGAATTTAGACAGGATGTGACACAACCATTTAACAGCAGGGTAAAACTTTTAAATAAAATTTGGGTCTGTACATTTTATAATTTATCATAAATTTGATTGATTAGAGACAGTTTAACAACAGTTTGGTTCAGGACTCAACACCCTGTATTTTCCTGTGTCTGAAAGTAGACTTTAGTTACTTCATACATCATAAAATACCCTGGATGTTTATTGTAAGATATCCTTGGTATTCATGGCTGAAGGTGCTCATAATGAGGTCTGTCTGGCATTTCCTGTACAGTCCTCTGATATGTATACAAAATGGGCATAATCTGATTCTGGTCTAGTTTAGGAACAAAGACACCCAATAATATGCAAGACTATATTTTCTCTTTCTGATATTTCTGTTCACTTTGGTCCACAGCTTTATGAAAAATTGGCAGCCCTCATACATCCCCTGTGAATAATTTATTTCATGTTTGGGGGACGAGGTTATATATTATTTATAATAAATGTTGTCAGCGGTTCGAAACTACCAGCCGCTCCGCAGGAGAAAGATGAGGCTTTCTACTCCCGTAAGGATTTACACCCTCGGAAACCCTGTACAGGGTCGCTATGGGTCGGAACCGACTC